TGAACAAAAGCGACAGAAACAATTAGAAAAAGAAGCCGCAAAGAAGGCAGAAGCAGAGGCTAAAGAGGCTCGAAAAGCAGAAATAGAGCATCAGAAACGGCGTGCTCAAGAAGCCAAAGAAGCAAAAAAATTAGAGCAAGAAGCCCTAAAGAAAGCGGACGCAGAAGCAAAAAAGGCTGAACCTAAAAAGAAAAAATCGACCAGCTCCAAACCCGGAAAGTTGGCAATTACGCCACCACAAGCAGAGATCAGTTCATCTGTGGCGTCATCTACATCTTCCAAAAAGGTTCATTATTTAGATGTTGATTCTGAGACGGTGCCACTCGGACAACTCAAAAAACAACGTAGAACAGAAGTTACAGGCTCAAAGCAAACCAACCGTCCTTCTCCAACGGCAAAAAAGAGAGTTCCGCATAGCTAGATATGAATATATTGAATTTTTATGGTTTCATTAACCGTGAGTATAATTTATTGGAACTTGGTTTTGCAATGAGTTGAAGGAAATTATAAGCATCTTGACATTTTAATCACGTTAATATAATGTAAAAAAGAATATTTGTCAATGCTAGTATCATTCATATAAAGTACGCAAGTATTATTAACTGTTATTACTTGTACATTTTTAATATGTAATTTCTATTGTAAAAATATATAGAATATAAAGTTTAGATACTTATTAAGTTTGTTTGTTCGTATTTTAATAGTTACCAGCACCAAACATGGCACAATGTGCCATATTTTATATTTTATAATATATATAAAACATATATTCATAATAAAAAAGATAGTATTTATAATTGATTGTATATAATAAAAAATCAGTATGTTGTTTATATAATGTAAGTTATTTTAATGTGAAATTTTTGGTGTTTTTTCTGGATTTTTTTTTACGATTGGATTAGGATTTAGAGTTAGGGTTTATAATTAGAGTATAGGTGGGTTTTAATATGATTTGTATTTTTAAACAGACCCTAAATTCCAACTAGTGTTTGGATCTGTTAGACTTTTTATCAATACCGATAACAGATAACAATTTTGTTTAACAGATAATTTATCCAGATAGTTACTTTAAGTTCAGATAATTATCTATAGATTATCTGTATTAATATATAAGTTTTTGCCTTGAAAATAATCTTATAGTACTATGTACTATAAGGTTATTTTTAAAGCAAAAATTCTATATATTGTAAAATAGTAAAATAATAAAATACAAATATACTTTTTATATAGTGTTTCTAGATCCAGTTTTGATTTGGGTTTAGTCCAAAATCAAACTCTAGATTTACTAATTTTCAAGCTTCAAATCAAACTTATAATACTAAATTCAAACTAAACTTAATTACAATTATAAGTTTGGTTTAGGTTTTGTCTGAAGTTTGAATAGTAAATAATAAATTATGCTAATCTAATATGAATTTATTATTAACAACACCTCATTTACACAATTACTTTTTTTATAAACATCTTTTTTTTAACAACTGCTTCTCAGACAAACTTTTTTTGACATAACTAAATATATATAGTATCTAATAACTATTTATCTACAATTATTTTCTTAACAATTTATTTTACTTTGAAACAACTACTTAGTAATTAACAACTATTTATTAGACAATTACATCTTTATCTCAATAATCATTTCATTTTTTTCTTTGATATTATTTAATACTTTTTTAGCAACACTTTTATACTAATCTTTTGCAGTTATTAGGTTTATCTAGTATCTAATAATTAACAAATAATCTAGATAGTTATCTAAATAATAGGATTATAAACAGATATAGATAACAGATAATAACTTTTTTCAACAGATAATTATCTTTAGATAAATAGATTATCTAAATCTGAATACTAATTTTAACATTATCTAATTTTAGCATCATCTCGATATATTATTATCAATTTATTAATTGCATCATTATATAAATAGTTTCTTGTATTAATAATAATAATATGCAAAATTAATTCTGTAAATTGAAGGAATAGATATTAAAACTACTGTATTTCATAGGCTAAACCACCCTCTATACAATTTTATAGCTTTATATATTAGTATTTAAATATTATATTTGTGCATATTTTGTACTTATATTATAGTACTACTTATGCTAATACTATATTGATAATAATAGATAATTATTATTAATATTAAAAATATCTAGATAAAAGCTAATAAATATTTTACAAGGGAGGAGTGATTTAGTCTATAAAATATAATAATAGTAATACAAACCCTATTTGCTATCCCTTAAATTGTTTTGTAGCCAAATTTGCCTGCAAAATTTTTTAAAATATAAATTTTTTTAATAAAATTTTAA